TCCAAATCCATTGTGGTGGTGTATAGAGCCAAAGATGTTAGAATTGTATCGATGTCCCAATATTTCTGGACCTGGCTGTATATTTGTGGCAATACTATTTTATTTATCAACCACATGGGTCAGCACCTCCACTGTCAACAAAGAAACTCTGATCCACATGAACAGTGTTATTTGCCATACAAGTAGTCCTCGCTTCATGACTGCCCTGTTTAGCAACCATTCGAAGTTATGATGGCACTGCAAAAGTAACTTAACGACCAGTCCTCGCACTTATACCATGGCAGTGTCCCCAAAGTCACATGATCAAAATTCAGGCGTTTTGCAACCAGTAGGTGTTCATGACCATTGTAGCATCCCACGGTCATGTAAAACCCTTTTGCACATTTCACAGCCAGCTTCTGACAAGCAAAGTCAATGGAGAGGCTGGCAGTAAAATCACATGTCAGGGTTATGTGATGTCTCCTTAATGACCGTGGGTGATTTGCTTAATGGCTGCAGTGGGAGTGACATCATAAATCCGGTGCAGTCACATGTTTCACTTAATGACTGCATTGCTTAGCAAAGGAGTTGCCAGTCCCAATTGTGGTTGTTAAGCGGGGACCACATGTACTTCTGGGAAGATCAGCTTCTAATATCACTGTTGCATTAGGCATATATCAAGGTGTCATTAAAAAGGCTCTTTAAAAAACTGACTAGATTTTTTCTGAGGCATCAAAGTTAGAAAAAACAGTAATGTATTATAGAGAATTTGTGCTGTTTCTGTAGAAAATAATTTAATGGCAGCATGTTTCTTTCCATGCTGCCAGACATTTTCAACAAGGGAGGAAGCCCAGTTTATCTGAGCTAAATCATCTAACCTGCTCTATAGCTTGAATATGAATATACCAGCAATGGGTCTTTGGGCTCATAGAAAAGATTAAAATTTATTTTTTAATTAACCATTCTTCCTTGTAGCATAACACAAGAGCCTTCAGAGCTCTCCCAAGGCTGACTTGCATCTGTTGCAAGACAGCTGCGTTGTCTGCATAAGCCAGAATTGGCAAACACTTTCAACGTCATGTAAGTATATTATATATGAGATTAGATGTGTATTAAATATGAATGAAGTCAATAGGCATCCTTGTTTCATTCCTTTTTATGTTGATATACATCTGATAACTCAGAATAATAGTTTTTATCAATAGACGAGTTATTTGGATTCTTGAGATTGAACTGAAGCCTGTTTTAAAATCCACAAAAACTACAAAAACTTGTTTGATTCACTTGTATAGTTATCAGCTATGCACTGCAACCAAGCATTGATGTATTGTGGATCTACCTTCTCTACGCCCACCTGTGCATCCTCAATAATATTTCTTGCACTTATTAATTATACAGTGGAACCTCGGGTTACGAACGCTTCTGTTCATGAACTTTTTGGGTGACGACCAGCTCCGGCTGCAAAATTTTGCTTCGATTCACAAACTCCGCCTCGGGTTACGAACAGGATCCGTGGCCATTTTCCCGCCCGTGACACGTGGTCCGTGGCCATTTTCCGCCCCTGACACGTGGTCCGCGGCCATTTTTCCGCCCGACACGTGGTCCGCAGCCATTTTCTGCCCCTGACACGTGATCCGCGGCCATTTTTCTGCCCCTGACACGTGA